GGAAATCCAGATGGGCTAGACTTGAGATGTTGAAGGTTGGGCTGCTGTGGCCTCATGGGTGAAAAGTTTGTACTTGTTCTGGGGCTGGTGCTTCTGGAAGTAAAGGTGATGCTTTTAGAAGGAAATTCTGATGGACATGTGTTTCCAACTTCAAAATGAGATGTCACTGCTGCTGATCCTCTTCTAAATGGGTGCACAGTTTCAATATTTTGCATTAAAACATCTTCCTGTAAGGGTTTTGCTTGTTCTGCCTGAGAAGTCTGTATGTTTTCTACTGTTGGTGAGTTTTGTGCAACTTTTAAATTATCACTCTGCTGAACACATGAGTTTTTCTCTACAGAACCCAACTTTTCCTCTATATTGATTTGTTCTGTTAAGTGCTCCTTGTTGTGTGATAGGCCAGGCAGGATGTGTTTTTCTCCATTCCGGCAACTATCTCCATCTTTGCTTTCTGAAGCAGTTACGGGCTGACTTCGTCCAGCTGCCTGCCTAGGATCCCTTTTCAGGTTGATAAACTGTGGAGACCTTGTTGTATTAGCAACAAGGTTTTCACTACAACTCGCATTACCATCTGTGTTTCCTTTTCCTACACTGGATCTGCATGGAGAACTATTTGAAGTCTGGTTATCTTGCAAATTATTCTCTTGATCTTGCTGAAGCTGTCTTTTTAATGTTTTCTCTTTACTCTCCACCGTTTCCTCTTGTTTTGACTGAATTGATAAATTTGTTAAAAATGCTTCTGTAGAAACATCTGGTGGTTTACCTCTGAGACTAAGACTCGTCAAAGGCCCTGTAGAAATGGAAGGGGATCCTACTACTGATGTTTCTTCTCCCATTACTACTGAATTATCTGTAGATTCTGAAAGATTATCTTCTTTAACTTTTATCTCCTTGTTTTCACCATCAGTTACTTCCACTTTATCTGTTTTCTCTATTTTTGAGTTGGCTTGCTCATTTAAAAATGGAATTTCTTTAAGAGTGTTTTGTTCTATCACTGACTGAGCCTGATCATATACTTGACCAGTGGTGCCCAAAAGGCTTTGAAGTATATCATCCACAGGAAGAGGTTTATTTGCTAATTCCAGAGTAGTAGGTTGATTCTCCCAGCCAATTAATACGCCAGGGAGAAATCTTAAAGGTTTTGGTGGCTCCTGTTTGGTGACTTCCATTAAAGGTTCAACTGCTGCTGGAAGGTCTTCCTGAAGATTCTGCTGAGGTTTATTTCTCTGCTTGTGTAATACAGTTGTAAAAGAATTAAAAAAGTCATTTTCTTCCTCTGGTGCTGCTTCTGTTGAAACTTCTATTTTACTTTTTTTATCAGGTGGCAATGCTATCGGTGTACTTTCAGGAGTCTCAGCTATATGACTAGTACTAGCAGAGGCACTGTGCTGTCGCTTCAGTTTCTGACGAATAATTAAGCCCAACAATAGATTAGGTCTATGCAGTTCAAGCCC